CCCACCCCCTGACTTTATGATGTGTGGTTGTTATTGATTCCAATAATCCCCCACCCCCTGACTTTATGATGTGTGGTTGTTATTGATTCCAATGATCGCCCACCCCCTGACTTTATGATGTGTGGTTGTTATTGATTCCAATAATCGCCCACCACCTAACTTTATGATGTGTGGTTGTTATTGATTCCAATAATTGCCCACACCCTGACTTTATGATGTGTGGTTGTTATTGATTCCAATAATCGCCCATCCCTACTTTAGTTTCATCATCTGTTCCAATAATCACCTGGGCTGTTATTAGGACCAAAAGTAGTATAAGCATAGTTAAAAGAAAGCAAGAAGATATTAGCAGATTAGGTGGAGAGAATAAAAGTATGAAAAGCACAGATAAGGGGAAGCTAAAAAGCAAAGACTTTGTTCTGTATAGTTATCTGATTAAAGCATTTTTATGGGATATGGAACTGTATTTTCATAGATTTAGAGAAGATACTGCCAACATATAACAAGAGGCCCATAGGGCCTGTATCGCTCACCTTGATATCTAAGCAATCATGGCAGAATATTCTCCAAATGAGATCCAAGGGAATATGCCAGACCCCAAGGCCAATCCTTGTAGCATATATATCTGTATTCAATTTTTCATGCCCAGCAATTTTATGTATGGTTATGGGGTGGGGATCTCAACTGTTTCCAAGCTGTGACGCAGAAACTAGGTCCCTACGGTTGTGGCCAGACCCCAGGATCAATTCTAATATCATGACTGCATTTGTCTCTTTTTGCCCAGCATTTGTATATATAGTTTTGGGGTGGGGATTTCAACCGTTTCAAAGTTATGACCCAGGGGTTAAGTCTGCAAGGGTGGGGCAAACCCTGGGGTCAATTCTAATATCATGACTGCATTTGTCTCTTTATGCCCAACAATTGTATATATAGTTTTGGGGTGGGGATCTTAACCATTTCAAAGTTATGACCCAGGGGTTAAGTCTCCAAGGGTGGGGCAGTCCCCAAGGCCATCCTGGAAGCATATGTGCATTCATCTCTTTGTAATCGGCAATTGTCTATATGGTTATAGGGTGGGGATCTCA